ATGTAGAAAAATACATATAATGCGAGTTTTCGATAAGATTTCTATCCAGAGCGGGATATTTTGAAGTGAGAATGGAAAGAGAGGCTGTATCTAGATTTTTCATAAATTCTTAGGGAGTACATGAAGAACAATATATATAATGCGAGTTATAGATAAGATTTCTATCCAAAACGGGCTATTTGAAATCAAGATGTGGAAGAGAGGCTGCATTAAGTTTTTTTTATAAGATCTTAGGGGTACATGTAGAAAAATATATAGTAATGCGAATTTTAGATAAAATTTCAATTCAGAACAGGATATTTCGAATTGAGAATGGAAAGAGAGGCCTAATTTAGATATGTTATTGGATCTTAGGGTGTACATGTAGAGAAATATATAATTATGCGAATTTTAGATAAGATTTCTATTCAGAACGGGATATTTCGAATTGACAATGGAAAAGGGGCTGAATTCAGATATTTTATTGGATCTTAGGGTGTACATTGGAAAAATATGTTTAATGCGAGTTTGATATAAGATTTCTTTCCAGAACAGGCTATTTGAAATGAAGATGTGAAAGAGAGGCTGCATTAAGTTTTTTCATAGGATCTTAGGGGTACATGTAGAAAAATATATTTGATGCGAGTTTAAGATAAGATTTCAATTCAGAACAGGATATTTCGAATTGAGAAAGGAAAAAGAGGCTGAATTTAGATATTTCATAGATTCTTAAGGGGTACATGAAGAACAATATATAAAATGCGAGTTTTAGATAAAATTTCTATCCAGATAGGGCTATTTAAAATCAAGATATGAAAGAGAGGCTCCATTGAGTATTTCATAGGATCTTAGGGGTACATGTAGAAAAATATATTTAATGCGAGTTTAAGATAAGATTTCAATTGAGAACGGGATATTTCAAATTGAGAATAGGAAGAGAGGCTCGATTCAGATAATTTATAGGATCTTTGGGGGTACATGTAGAAAAATATATAATAATGCGAATTTTAGATAAGATTACCATTCAGAACGGGATATTTCGAATTGAGAATGGAAAAAGAGGCTGAATTTAGATTTTTCATAGAAATTTAGGGGGTACATATTAAAAAATACGTATAATTCGGGTTTAGGTAAGATTTCTATCCAGAACGGGATATTTCGAATTGAGAATGGAAAAAGAGGCTGAATTCAAATATTTTATAGGATCTTAGGGGGTACATGTAGAAAAATACGTATAATTCGAGTTTTAGATAAGATTTCTATCCAGAACCGGTTATTTTAAATTTAGAATGGAAAGAGAGGTTTAATTTAGATTGTTCATAGGATTACAGGGGGTACATGTAGAAAAATATATAATAATTCGAGTTTTAGATAAGATTTCTATCCAGAACGGGCTATTAAAATCAAGATATCAAAGAGAGGCTTCATTAAGTTTTTTCATAGGATCTTAGGGGTACATGTAGACAAATATATTTAATGCAAGTTTGAGATGAGATTTCAATTGAGAACGGGATATTTCGAATTGAGAATAGAAAGAGAGGCTTGATTCAGATATTTTATAGGATCTCAGGGGGTACATGTAGAAAAATATGTATAATTCCTGTTTGATATAAGATTTCTATTGAGAACGGGATATTTCGAATTGAGAATAGATAGAGATACTGAATTCAGATATTTATAGGATCTAAGGGTGTACATGTAGACAAATATATTTAATGCGAATTCTAGATTAGATTTCTATCCAGAACGGGATATTTCAAATTGAGAATGGAAAAAGTGGCTTAATTTCGATTTTTCATAGAAACTTAGGGGGTAAATAGGGAAAAATATATAAAAATGCGAATTTTAGATAACATTACCATCCAGAACGGGATATTTCGAATTGAGAATAGAAAGAGAGGCTGATTTAAGATATTCATAGGATCTCAGGGTGTACATGTAGACAAATATATTTAATGCGAGTTTGATAAAAGATTTCTATTCAGAATGAAATATTTCGAATAGAGAATGGAAAAAGAGGCTGAATTTAGATTTTTCATAGAAACTTAGGGGTTTCATAGAGAAAAATATATAAAAATGCGAATTTTACATAACATTACCATCCAGAACGGGATATTTCGAATTGAGAATAGAAAGAGAGGCTGAATTCAGATATTTATAGGATCTTAGGGTGTACATGTAGACAAATATATTTAATGCGAGTTTGATATAAGATTTCTATTCAGAATAGAATATTTCGAATTGAGAATGAAAAAAGAGGCTGAATTTAGATATTTCATAGATTTTTAAGGGGTACATGAAGAACAATATATAAAATGCGAGTTTTAGATAAAATTTCTATCCAGATAGGGCTATTTAAAATCAAGATATGAAAGAGAGGCTCCCTTGAGTATTTCATAGGATCTTAGGGGTACATGTAGAAAAATATATTTAATGCGAGTTTAAGATAAGATTTCAATTGAGAACGGGATTATTCAAATTGAGAATAGAAAGAGAGGCTCGATTCAGATATTTTATAGGATCTTCGGGGGTACATGTAGAAAAATATATAACAATGCGAATTTTAGATAAGATTACCATTCAGAACGGGATATTTCGAATTGAGAATGGAAAAAGAGGCTGAATTTAGATTTTTCATAGAAATTTAGGGGGTACATATTAAAAAATACGTATAATTCGGGTTTAGGTAAGATTTCTATCCAGAACGGGATATTTCGAATTGAGAATGGAAAAAGAGGCTGAATTCAAATATTTTATAGGATCTTAGGGGGTACATGTAGAGAAATACGTATAATTCGAGTTTTAGATAAGTTTTCTATCCAGAACCGGTTATTTTAAATTTAGAATGGAAAGAGAGGTTTAATTTAGATTGTTCATAGGATCTCAGGGGGTACATGTAGAAAAATATATAATAATTCGGGTTTTAGATAAGATTTCTATCCAGAACGGGCTATTAAAATCAAGATATTAAAGAGAGGCTTCATTAAGTTTTTTCATAGGATCTTAGGGGTACATGTAGACAAATATATTTAATGCAAGTTTGAGATGAGATTTCAATTGAGAACGGGATATTTCGAATTGAGAATAGAAAGAGAGGCTTGATTCAGATATTTTATAGGATCTCAGGGGGTACATGTAGAAAAATATGTATAATTCGTGTTTGATATAAGATTTCTATTGAGAACGGGTTATTTTGAATTGAGAATAGAAAGAGAGGCTGGATTCAGATATTTTATAGGATCTCAGGAGGTAAATGTAGAAAAATATATTTAATGCTAATTTTAGATAAGATTTCTATCCAGAACGGGATATTTCGAATTGAGAATAGATAGAGATACTGAATTCAGATATTTATAGGATCTAAGGGTGTACATGTAGACAAATATATTTAATGCGAATTCTAGATTAGATTTCTATCCAGAACGGGATATTTCAAATTGAGAATGGAAAAAGTGGCTTAATTCCGATTTTTCATAGAAACTTAGGGGGTAAATAGGGGGTAAATATATAAAAATGCGAATTTTAGATAACATTACCATCCAGAACGGGATATTTCGAATTGAGAATAGAAAGAGAGGCTGAATTCAGATATTTATAGGATCTTAGGGTTTACATGTAGACAAATATATTTAATGCGAGTTTGATAAAAGATTTCTATTCAGAATGAAATATTTCGAATTGAGAATGGAAAAAGAGGCTGAATTTAGATTTTTCATAGAAACTTAGGGGGTTCATAGAGAAAAATGTATAAAATTGCGAATTTTAGATAACATTACCATCCAGAACGGGATATTTCGAATTGAGAAAAGAAAGAGAGGCTGATTTAAGATATTCATAGGATCTCAGGGTGTACATGTAGACAAATATATTTAATGCGAGTTTGATAAAAGATTTCTATTCAGAATGAAATATTTCGAATAGAGAATGGAAAGAGAGGCTGAATTTAGATTTTTCATAGAAACTTAGGGGATACATATAGAAAAATATATAAAAATGCGAATTTTAGATAACATTACCATCCAGAACGGGATATTTCGAATTGAGAATGGAAAGAGAGGCTGAATTTAGATTTTTCATAGAAACTTTGGGGGTACATATAGAAAAATATATAAAAATGCGAATTTTAGATAACATTACCATCCAGAACGGGATATTTCGAATTCAGAATAGAAAGAGAGCCTGAATTCAGATATTTATAGGATCTTAGGGTGTACATGTAGAAAAATATATAAAAATGCGAATTTTAGATAAAATTACCATCCAGAACGGGATATTTCGAATTGAGAATGGAAAGAGAGGCTGAATTTAGATTTTTCATAGACACTTAGGGGGTACATATAGAAAAATATATAAAAATGCGAATTTTAGATAACATTACTATCCAGAACGGGATATTTCGAATTCAGAATAGAAAGAGAGCCTGAATTCAGATATTTATAGGATCTTAGGGTGTACATGTAGAAAAATATATAAAAATGCGAATTTTAGATAAAATTACCATCCAGAACGGGATATTTCGAATTGAGAATGGAAAGAGAGGCTGAATTTAGATTTTTCAAAGAAACGTAGGGGATACATATAGAAAAATATATAAAAATGCGAATTTTAGATAACATTACTATCCAGAACGGGATATTTCGAATTGAGAATAGAAAGAGAGGCTGAATTCAGATATTTATAGGATCTCAGGGGGTACATGTAGAAAAATATATTTAATGCTAGTTTGATATAAGATTTTTTATTCAGAATGAAATATTTCGAATTGAGAATGGAAAAAGAGGCTTAATTTAGATTTTTCATAGAAATTTAGGGGGTACATAGGGAAAAATGTATAAAAATGCGAATTTTACATAACATTACCATCCAGAACGGGATATTTCAATTGAGAATAGAAAGTAGGTTGAATTCAGATATTTATAGGATCTTAGGGTGTACATGTAGAAAAATATATTTAATGCTAGTTTGATATAAGATTTTTTATTCAGAATGAAATATTTCGAATTGAGAATGGAAAAAGAGGCTTAATTTAGATTTTTCATAGAAATTTAGGGGGTACATAGGGAAAAATGTATAAAAATGCGAATTTTACATAACATTACCATCCAGAACGGGATATTTCGAATTGAGAATAGAAAGAGAGGCTGAATTCAGATATTTATAGGATCTCAGGGGGTACATGTAGAAAAATATATTTGATGCTAGTTTGATATAAGATTTTTTATTCAGAATGAAATATTTCGAATTGAGAATGGAAAAAGAGGCTTAATTTAGATTTTTCATAGAAATTTAGGGGGTACATAGGGAAAAATGTATAAAAATGCGAATTTTACATAACATTACCATCCAGAACGGGATATTTCGAATTGAGAATAGAAAGTAGGTTGAATTCAGATATTTATAGGATCTTAGGGTGTACATGTAGAAAAATATATTTAATGCGAGTTTGATATAAGATTTCTATTCAGAATGAAATATTTCGAATTGAGAATGGAAAAAGAGGCTGAATTTAGATTTTTCATAGAAACTTAGGGGTTTCATAGAGAAAATGTATAAAAATGCCAATTTTACATAAGATTTCTATTGAGAACGGGTTATTTTGAATTGAGAATAGAAAGAGAGGCTGGATTCAGATATTTTATAGGATCTCAGGAGGTAAATGTAGAAAAATATATTTAATGCTAATTTTAGATAAGATTTCTATCCAGAACGGGATATTTCGAATTGAGAATAGATAGAGATACTGAATTCAGATATTTATAGGATCTAAGGATGTACATGTAGACAAATATATTTAATGCGAATTCTAGATTAGATTTCTATCCAGAACGGGATATTTCAAATTGAGAATGGAAAAAGTGGCTTAATTTCGATTTTTCATAGAAACTTAGGGGGTAAATAGGGGGTAAATATATAAAAATGCGAATTTTAGATAACATTACCATCCAGAACGGGATATTTCGAATTCAGAATGGAAAAAGAGGCTGAATTTAGATTTTTCATAGAAACGTAGGGGGTACATATAGAAAAATATATAAAAATGCGAATTTTAGATAACATTACTATCCAGAACGGGATATTTCGAATTGAGAATAGAAAGAGAGGCTGAATTCAGATATTTATAGGATCTCAGGGGGTACATGTAGAAAAATATATTTAATGCTAGTTTGATATAAGATTTTTTATTCAGAATGAAATATTTCGAATTGAGAATGGAAAAAGAGGCTTAATTTAGATTTTTCATAGAAACTTAGGGGGTACATAGGGAAAAATGTATAAAAATGCGAATTTTA